TTGTACATTTAGGTTGGTGACACGCCTAGCATGATTATCGATACGGCGAACCCGTCCAATGTGGTTTCGGGGTTTGGTTTCGAGTGGCCCGATGCACTGCGGCTCCGCGGGTCGGTCATCCGCATTTCGTTCATCTACGTAGCGTCCATGACCGGCTACGGCGTTGGTATTGCATTCCTGATACAACACCACAAGGACTTGGCGATCAACATGTCGGTGATGTCGTTTGTGTCGCTTGTGCTCTCGCTGCTGCTGGTGTTCCGCACCAATTCTGCGTATGACCGGTACTGGGAGGGCCGGAAGATCTGGCAGGACCTGAAGGTCACGTCGCGCAACCTGATTCGCAACCTGTGGTGCGGAGTGCTGGAGAACTCGATCGAGGACAGCGTGCAGAAGCGCCAGGCGCTGAAGAGCGTCGCAGCCTTCGTCATCTCAGTCAAGCACTACCTGCGCGGCGAGGACGGCGTGGACTACGCAGACTACGACGGGCTTTTGTCGCCCGAGTTCCGGCTGCTGCTTGCAACCAACAACAACGCGTACAACTACGGGGCGATCGGCGCCGGAAACAACAGCCCGATGGGCGGCTCGCGCACCGGACTGGCGGCCACCAGCGCGACATTCCACGCGCAGCGGCTGACCGAGGGCTGGGAGCGCCAGGGCGAGGTGCCGCTGCCGTCGCTGCTGCTGTTTGAGATGCAAAAGTTTGGCGAGTACATTATGGACAACAAGCTGTGCCATGTGCCGTTCTACGCCAGCATGCTTGCCACAATCAACACTCTGAGCGCGTCGCTGGGCGGCTGCGAGCGCATTCTGTCGACGCCGATTCCGCTGGCGTACCGGATCCACCTGACCCACACTCTGTATTTGTACCTGCTTGTCCTGCCGTGGTCGCTCGGCAGCATGGGGTCGCTGTGGAAGACCATTGTCCTGCAGTTCATCATCTCGTTCATGCTCATTGGTATTGACTCGATTTCGCGCGAGATCCAGAACCCGTTCGGATACGACGCCAATGATCTGCCGCTGGACGCGTACTGTGACAACATCCTGCTGGAGCTCAACTGCGCGCTTAGCCACAACTCGCCCAAGGCCCTGGTGTCGAACGAGGACACGCTGTCCAACCACAATGTTGCCACAGGCGGCGGCGCGGCGGGGGATGACAAGAGCGCCAACGGTGGTGATAACGCGGAGTGAGGCTTCTGGGTGGTATATCTGGTGCCGCGCACCAACCACCGCACATCACGCATATTGCTCCTTTATTTTTTTCTATCTCATTGGCAACAGTTTTTAAATAGCCTCAGCATTCCAAACCTTTACTGCCCTGGGGGAGTTTACGAAAAACAAAATAACTGATCCAGCGATTGGCACCGCTTTTACGCAGTTGCAAAAACAGCTTCAAGCAGATCGGCGAGAGCAATCATAACAATAGTCAGCGAGACATTCTCCCCGTCACGCCTGCCCTGCCCTGCCCAGACCAGCATGGAGACGGGCAAATCCACAATGCACGTCAATGTATTTTGACCAGCACCATGTTGGAGTGCGCGCATTCTAATTTGGGACATTGGCATGCGCTAGGCACACAGGGTGGGCCCGATTGTTATCCTAGTGGTCCCAACTTTTGACAGAGCAACAATCGGTCGCTTTTTGATTGATGCTGGACGGTATGTTTGAACAATCTCCCCAGCTCGACCCATCGCTTCCAATTTGGCAGTTCTTTTTTAGTATCGTGTTTATAAACATTAGACATCCGCTTCTATCCTTCTCCCTGTTCTCTCTCCTCTCCCTCCCCTTTTCTATTCCTTCAATTTCGTGCGCTATTCATGGTGACTGGGACAATAAGTGCGCGTATCCAGCAGCTCTCACAGCAACAGGCCGAGCCGGATCGGCCAGCACCGGCGACAGTCAGAGTTCCGCGCGGCAGCACCGTACCAACGAGCCGTCGGGCTGGACCCAACGGCATTCCGACGCGAGGCCTGGCAGCCGGATTAATCAACAAATTCAACCAAATGTCCGCGGGGCCCGCTAGCGATTCAGCGACAATACCTGGCGGGCGCCAGCAGGGCCGGGACAGCCCGGGCCGGGCAATTGCGCTGAAGGACCGGTTGCAGAGGCCAGCAGAGGGTGGCGCAGAATCCCGTGGAGCGCCGGCAGACAGGCCAACAGCGGTGACGCCGATTGCGCTGAAAATCGACACAGCCATAGAGCAATTGCCGTCGCCGGCGTCATCCCTGTCGCAGGCGCATTCGCGGGCAACGCAAAGGGGCGACCAGCTGGCGTGCGGGGAGATTTTTGGCGCCGAAGGGTCGCCCCATGGAAGGGGCGTCGCCGTTTCTCAGCGACAGCGAGGATGGACCGGGCGCTGAGCGAGATCGAGGAGTTTGGGCGTGACATGAACCTGCCGCTGGGCGACGTGGATATCTCGCGGTTCGACTTTGAGACATTCCCGCTCGCCATGAATGAAAAGGCTGGTGCGCACGTGACGGATGGTCAAAAAAGGCGCTGCCTGATGGCCATGTGGGCCGAGCGATGTTTTTTTACCTGGTGCTCTGCGGATGACGTTCAAGGCACGCTTCTGTTTTTTTGCTCTCTTTTATTTTAGTTTAATTTTATTTCAGTATTTTACGACACAATGGAGCTTGGCAGTCCTGACGGGGAGAATGCGTGGTCTACTGTGCTGACCACAATTTCCAGCAAGCAGACCAACGACGGCGACGAGGAGCAGGCAGCGGTGACGGTGCCTACCGAGGCTACGCAGAGCTCGGTAGAGGATAGTAAGCCAAAGACACCGCCAGTGACAGCGCATACACGCGGGCTAACCAGCACGCTGAGCGGGCGGCGGCAGCGTCACGAGTCGCTGGCTGCGCACGAGTACCAGTCGTCATCACCGGCCAGCACGGCGCCTGACACCGACAGCCCGTACTCGCGGGCATACTCCAACATGTACGAGTCGCAGATACTCACCAGCACACCGCCGCGACGGGACAGTAGAGGGCAGTGGCAGGCGCAGCAGCAGGCGACCAATGCAATGGACTCGGAGCTCCACGATGATTCGCCGCCCCCCGACTCGTTCCTAATCGAAGTGCACGACGGCTCACCGACGCAGGCTAGGCCAGGAAAGGCTAAAGGGTCGCGAGCACAGCGCAGTGTCGGGGGTTCAAGACGTGCTAGGGCGAGCCGACCGACGCAGAGGCAGAAGAGGGAGGCATTTGGCGACGGACGGATGTTTTCGATTGCAGAGGAGCAGCAGCATCAGCAGCAGCCGCAGTCGCAGTCGCATCCAAGTGCCTGGCGCAGGGGCAGGCGGCGGGTAGACAAGAAGCTGAGCTACAAGGAGCGCGCATTGCAGGCATGGCGCGACTCGCGGCACCTGGACGAGTTTTTTGGGCGGGTGTATGCGTACTACATCGGCAAGGGAGCGCTGAACATAATTCTGTCGCGGGTGCTGCACCTGGCAACGCTGGCGTTTGTTGTGGCACTGAGCACGTTTGTGTTTGGGTGCGTGGACCACAAGCTGGTGCGGGAGCAAAAGTCGCTGGCGGCAGTGGTGATTCCGCAATGCACCAGCAAGTTCTCGTGGCCGGCGACCGCATTTCTGTGGGGGTTTGCCGTGTTTTGGCTGGCGCAGCTGGTGCGGACCGCCATGGAGGTGCCTGCGCTGCTGGAGATCCGGGCATTTTTCACCGAGGCGCTGGACGTGTCGCCTGCAGACATCAATACAGTAGCATGGCACGAGATAGTCAGCCGCATGGTCAAGCTGCGTGACGCGGAGATCAGCCAGTACAAGGACATGACCAAGAGCCGTGTGCTCAACTACCGGCTGACGGCCGACAACATCGTCAACCGCATAATGCGGCGCGAAAACTACATGATTGCGCTGTTCAACAAGGATGTCCTGGACCTGCGGATCCCGGGCCTCGGCCAAACGCCGGTGCTGACCAAGGCGCTGGAGTGGAACCTGTCGTTCTGCCTGATGAGCTACGTGTTCGATGAACGCGGGCAGGTGCGGCGGCGGTTCCTGAAGGAGTCGAACCGGGAGATTCTCAGCGAGGGGCTGCGCAGGCGGTTCAAGTTCATGGCAGTGATCAACCTGGTGTTTGCGCCGTTCATTGTGATGTTCCTTGTGCTGTACGGGTTCTTCCGGTACTTTGAAGAAGTGTACCACGAGCCCGGCACCATCATGTCGCGGGCATTCACACCGCTGGCGAAATGGCGGGTGCGCAACTTCAATGAGGTGCCGCACTCGTTCCGGCGGCGGGTCAACATGGCGCACCCTAGGCGACGCTGTATCTCGCGCAGTTCAAGAACGAGGCGGTGATTAGCCTGGCGCGATTCGTGACATTCATCGCCGGGTCGGTCACGGCGCTGCTGATTCTGTTCACGGTGGTGGACAATGAGCTGAGCCTGGAGTTTGAGATCACGCGGCACCGCACAGTGCTGTTCTACCTGGGGCTGTTTGGTACAGTTTTGGCGGCTGCGCGGGATGGTGCCGACGACGAGCAGGAGAAGCTGCACCCGGCGTGGATCATCCATGATGCGCTGGAGGACCTGCAGTACATGGAGCCCGGGTGGCGCGGCAAACTGGACACGACCCAGGTGCGCCACGAGTTCGAGCGGCTGTTCGACTACAGGCTGGTGATATTTGCCCACGAGCTGCTGGGCGTCATCACGCGCCGTTCGTCATGCTGGTGTCGCTGCCGCGCAGCGCTGGCCAGGTGTGGATCTGTTCCGCGAGTTCTCGGTGCACGTCGACCACCTGGGGTACGTCTGCAGCTTCGCCATCTTCGATTTTGAGCGCAACGGCAACGTCAATTTCTCGGCGCCCACGCGCACAGCCAACGCAAACCTTGCCTCGAAGAACGGCAAAATGGAGCAGTCGTTCCTGCACTTCAAGGCCGAGTATCCGGACTGGGAGCCGCGCGACCAGGCAGGCTCGATCTACCTGCAGCGCGCGCAGAACGCGGCTGCGCAGCAGCAGGAGCTCTGGCGGGCCGGGTGGCAGGCGCGGCTTCTGCAGCAGCAGCGCATGGCTGGGTCGGTGTTCCCGACGGGCGCCAGCATCTATCGGCCAAAGGCGAGCCAGCAGGGGCGGTCGCAGTATCCGTTCCGGGCGTTTGCGCAGAACGCCATGCAGAGCACGATGGCATCGCAGGCCATGCTGCCGTTTGGCCCGACCCTGGGGTGCGCCGATCGTATCGGGCAAGAGCAAGGGCAAGGGCAAGGGCAAGGGCAAGGAGCCAGAGGACCAGGAGGCTGCGGACCGGCTGGAATTGTCGGCGCTGCCGCTGGTTGCGTCGCCGGAGCTGGGCAATTCGCTGAACATGTCAATGTATGCGGGCGACCGGCCGGCTGGGTTTGGCGGCATCCTGTCGATTGTCAACCAGCTCTACGAGCAGCAGATGATGTAGTAGATATGTTGAGACTTTTAATTAGGAAACACAAACGCTCCCTGGGAACGTGGCAGCGGGTTCAGTTGGCAGCCTTGGCAGCCGCAGCCTTGGCGATCTTCTCTGCCTTCTCGGCCTCGGCCTCGGCCAGCGCCTTCCTGGCCTTGCGGGCCTGGCGCTCGATGTAAATGTGCCTGCTCTCGATGATGCGATCGATAATGGCGGTGGTGGTCATGTGGAGCGCGGGATGGTCGACCTCGCGGTAGATGCCTCCTTGGGCAGGGCATACGGATCGGTGCCGTCAATGTCCAGCGGCTGGTCGCTGGCGCCATGGACAACGACACTGACATGGTAGACGGACTCCAGCACATCCTTGGCAACGCTGAACGGGGCGCCAATAATGACCTCATCGACATAGCGGCACTGGAGGACGCCCAGCACGCGCTCCTGCAGGTTCATGACAGGGAAATTGCCTCCCTTAACGGCATTGACCGTCTGGTCGTCATGAATGCCGACCAGCAAGTAGTCGCCGAGCTGGCGCGCGCGCTTGAAGAACTCAATATGTCCGGCATGGAAGAGATCAAAGGCACCGTCGACATAAACCACCTTGTCGCCGGGCTTCGGCTCGCGACCCGACGAAAACTGGATGATCTTGTTGCTGGTCGACAGGTAATGCGCAATGCCGGTCAGGGGCCCGGCAGGCGCCGAGCCGTGCGAGAAATCGGCCACCCGCGACTCATCCACGCCCTGCATGGTGAGCGAGCTGCGGGGACCGCGGATATGGTGGTCGCGGGTCACCAGAAGCATGCGGCCCACCAGCTCGGTCGTGGAGATGCCGGCCGTGCGCTTGCACTCCTTGTAGCGCCCGGCGTCCTTGACTATCTGGTAGCAGTCGGTGCCGTCGGCCGCTGTGGTGATGTCGTCACCGTGCACCACAAAGTCGATGTTGTGCTCGTCCAGGGACGCCAGCTCCGTTATGTATGGCGCGTCCTTGACCACCTTCGTCCACCCATTTGCAGGCCGCCACCGCCGCGTACCGCTCGTCCTCGCGCATTACGCACGGACCCTTGTTGCGCTCCACCTCGGCGTCCGAGTGCACTCCCACTACGAGATAGTCGCCCATGGCGCGCGCCTACAAAAAGTACGTCATGGACTATATTAAGCCTGGTCCTTTGTTTTTTTTTTCTTCCTAGGGCCGTCGACGAGCCCATCTTTACTCGCTTATTTTACCTGGCGCAGCGCATTGGCGTG